TCGGTTGATTTTTTATTTGCTGGAACAGCAACGTCTAGAGAACAAAACATGCAAAAAAAGTTTAAATTTGACGTTCGGTTTATTGAAACAATATTCAGATACGGAGCAACCCATGTCGCAATTTTTTGGGGGGGACGTCCTTTTGCTTTTCGTTTGACTAGTAGTTGAATAAGTGTTTTATCCCTAACTTGATACAAGTTAAATAAAATTGCTAATCCAACAGAATGTTTACACGAATATACTAATAATGGTATAATAAGCCAGCAGAATTGTTGCCACACCAGAAAACTGTTGAATGTATCATTGGCTAGGTATTTATCGTTCTCATCGGTGGCTTATATTCAATAATTTTCTGGTGTGGCAACAATTCTGCTGGCTTATTATACCATTATTAGTATATTCGTGTAAACATTCTGTTGGATTAGCAATTTTATTTAACTTGTATCAAGTTAGGGATAAAACACTGATTCAACTACTAGTCAAACGAAAAGCAAAAGGGCGTCCCAAGAAAGTTAGCACAGCTTTATTGTTCATTTGGTTAAAATTTCAATGAATATGTTTGTGTTGTACATTATACTTTGTTGAGAAATAAAAATGTGAGATGCATGCTGAAAAATTTGATGATCAAAAGTATCTTTTTTTGGTGATCATTTGTATCTAAATATGTTTCGTGATCAAAAGTACATTTACTCCTAAAACATCCTTGGTTCTACTTTATTTCTATTATCGTGATTGTTATATGACGACGACAGGCAAGTTACTCTCGCCTGATTTGAACAAAATGAGACAAAGCTGAACGTATGTTTTTTCCTAAGTTTGATTATGCTTAAAGTAATGGAGAGTTAGAAATGGTAATTAGAAATGATAAGATGCGAAATTCGATTCTATTCGTATTCGATTTTCCGGTTTTCCATATGTATCGATATGTGACAGAAGTTGTCCGATTTTACTTTAACTGAATATAAGGAACATCGTCTGATTGTTTTTACAATTTCTTTTCCTGTTTCTTCAATTTTTGTGATAAAATATTTTCGAAAAATAAAGTGTGTTTCGCTCAATTAATTTCTTAGTCAATATGCAAACTTGCTTATAAAAGTAGATTCGTTTCCTCTGATGTTTCCATCTCGTAGGGGATAGTATCTTAAGACAAAAACGAAAAAGAACCACATACAAAATAGCAAACATTATCGTCATGACATATGTCCATAAGTAGTGAAAAAATCATTACAAATATTTTCAAACGGACAGCGACACTAGATGCCGACTGCTTACTGCGAAGATCGGAAGCTGACTAGTGAAACATTTCTGTGAAACATTTGCTACCGTTAATCCTTGGACCGTCTTCGACACATGTGCATTAAATTAAGAAGTGAAAATCTTGTTGGCACAAGTGGAACGCGTACAATAGACGAGTCTATTAAAAATCTTGTAGATTCGTTGTTAGAAACAGTTCTTGACACTTGCAATATTTCATCAAACGATTCCCAATTGTAGTAGATGTTACTTTTTATAAAAAATATGTTTTCTACTTCTACTTCTTGTCCGGCTGAGTATACTTTTTTAAAAAACTGTGAAGAACATTTCAAACTTACTAAGCCAGTAGAAATGACTCTGAATTTATAGTCATGATGAGGTGAAATATTGCAAGTGTCAAGAACTGTTTCTAACAACGAATCTACAAGATTTTTAATAGACTCGTCTATTGTACTCGTTCCACTTGCGCCAACAATATTTTCACTTCTTAATTTAAACAGAAAATGTAAATAAAGTTGTTGAATATTTTCTAAAGACTTTAGTGCGTTATCGTCAGAGTCAGTAGCAGCGAGCGATTGATCGTCAAGTGATAAATTTTGTGCTGTGTCCATCAATGGATGATTACTGATGATAACTGATCAAAATCGTTAGGAAATATTTCAACAAAATTATTCACAAATGGCTTTTCTGTCGGATCATTGCCATGTTTGCGAAATAAATGCTTACGCCAAGCACTAAAAGTGTTATAAAAACTACCGTCTGTGCAAAATGGACATTTTAAGCAAAATCTGGGTTACAGCTATGGATCAAACGCACATGTGATCGAAAAGACGAAAACTCGCGTTCACGCACGCAGCACATCGGGCAACTAAACTGAAATCTTGTTTCTCTCACATTCTGTTGCATTTTTAATAACCTGAAAACGTATCACTGTATTGACATAAACATATTATATTGATATTCATCCAGAAACACACATGTATCGAAGATGGTCCGAGGATTAACGGTAGCAAATGTTCCACTCGGTCAGCTTCCGATCTTCACAGTAAGCAGTCGGCATCTAGTTGTCGCTGTCCATTTGAAAATATTTGTAATGACTTTTTCACTACTTAAACCAGATCCTATTTTTAAAAAATTTAGCCGTCTTTGGGCATCTTTGAATAAGTTTTGTAACCGATATACTAGCAGACCAAAACTTGTCCTAGATTCTTCTCGATCGCGTGCCGTCATCTACTCTGGAGTCTTGTAAAATGTTCAACGAGCTTTTTCGCTCCTGCTTTCATTCTGCAGATGGTCAAAACTGAGATGTGCCACTGACACTTCCCGAATAATAAAATGTTTCCTATAACGTTGAGAAGCACTTTCAAGGTCTCCAAATATGATATTCTTAATCAGTAGGCTCGATTACATATACCCAGATGAAATTAGAAACTAAAGTCGAGAAAATGTTTCCCAACGTTCCTCGATACTTAAAGCAAAATTCTTTTGACTTCTGCAAAGATATAAACGAAGTTTTGTTTGAAATTTGATGTTGGTTGTAATCCTATATGATTTCTTCCAAAAAATCGTGATCAAAAACGGCCTTATCGCAACTACTTCTTCTATTACAGAAAAAAAACCTAACAGGATATGGTAGAGGGATGGAAGATAGAATATCGAAGAGCCAAATTATTTTATTAGCTGCGATTATAAGTGTTGTTGTCGAAGAGACAAAGTATTAAAATGTGTAGCAATTTAATAAGGACAAATCAATCACCAGTCCTATAATGTGTTTAAAATACATGTTGATTGTCGAGAAGAAAATTCGTTAAAAAAAATCACTATTGCACTGTACTATTATTCAATTCTTCAATTATATTTGCTATGTGTTTTACGGAACTATAATTTCCTTGTATGTATTTGAATGTTGAATCCAAATTCTACGTAGCCAGAAACCCACCATCTACAAGAAAGAAATATTAAAAGTTGAGCGCAGATAGATAGCATGATAAAGATGCATCATCGAGAGGATGAATTTGTAAAGCAACTAGAAGCTGTTATAATTCTCAATCTACTATTAGTAATCGAAGTAAAATAAGCTGATTTACCTATTGGTAAACCAACACCATTGATCATTCCACTTTTATCAGACAATAAAAAGATAATTGGTTCAACAACATCATCGACTTCTACAAGTGACAGAAGAATCCCATACATAATACGATTATTTTGACACAACAGTATTTACCTGCAAATTTGTTAAGCGGAATTTTTGAAAGCATTCCTGCGGCTTTTTTCTCATCAGACCATCCTAATAGTACAGAAAACTGATACAGCTTTTGTGCAGCAAAACAGAGACAAGATATACAAACCTATACGTCCCATATCTGTTAAAACTACGGTTGGCTGAACGGAATTTACACGAATCTATTTTAAAAGCTGATGAATATTCTAGCGTAGATTTAACTTTCATTTTTCTAATTACTTGATGTGGTCCTAATTCGAGCGCCATATTACGAGTAACAGCGTCGACACTTGCTTTTGTTGCACAATAAACTGTATGATCTTTCAGAGCTGCTGCGGATGCTTGACTCGATACATTTACAATACTACCAGGAAGTTTTCTTTCAATCAAATCGCGAACAATTTCCTAAAATCACATCAAATATATAAACTGTTACAATCATCAAAATAAGTAAATATAACTAAACAGAACGTTTAAACGGTGTTTACAATAAACTCAAATCAATCTGAAAATGATTTTTCCTTTTCCTAGAATTATTATTGTTCATTGAAGTATCAAATCTTATCGATAATTACAGAATTTTAACAAATTTGGATTGCAAAATAAGCGCAAGAAACGTCCGTGACTTTTGAAATTAGATATGAAATATACCTGACTTAAGCAAATAATAGATCGAACATTGACATTAAACAACCTTTAACAACATATAGATGAAATAAAAGAAGAAAATGTCTTACAGAATCTTCACTTACGTATCAACGTCCTCTAATTTTATGTTCAAGAATGGATCGAGAATAGCAACAGCTGCATTATTCACCAGTAATTGAATTGGCAAGTGCTCTTTAATAGCATTTTTTGTTGCTGCCCAATCTGACAGATCAACACAAACCGGACGAATGGTATTATCCTAAATAACAAACATTGATCATTTAAAGGACACAGTCGACAGAAATGTTTACGAATACCATTGATACTAATTCTTTTAAGTGTGCTTCTGTTTTACTTATAGCAATCACTTTGCATCCAAGTTTCGCCAAACGAAGAGCGAGAGCTTGTCCTATACCTAATGTTTCAAAGCAACAAGAACGTTCATGTAAAGTAATAATAATTAGGAAAAACGAACCTCTTCCAGCGCCGGTAACACAAGCAGTTTTGCCTTGGAAAAAATTAGTATCCATTTCAATTATCTAAACAGAAATTGTTACTGTTGCTGATACTGACAAAGATGTAATCAAAAAATAAAGTATCAGTAATCCTGTATCTTAATATATTCTGAACACTGTTGAAGCTGATAAGTTTTCAGTCAGTTCCTTGAATCAGATAGATGTTCTTTTCATGTACAGGGTTGCGAGAAATGTTTTGTCCGGGGGGGTATAGCTCCAATGACAAATGATATCAATATTGAATTTTATACCAAATGAAAGCTCGTGAAAAATGGGGTTAACAGGTACAGTTAATAATCCGATAGACTATTGTCACCTATATAGAACGAAGTGAATTTCTAGATAAAGGCGAATCCTGGACCGGTCAATATTTTCGTGACACAGTTTTAGTTCAACACGTGTTTCCTTTCTTGAAAAATGAAGAAAACGTGATTGACGTGGATGAAGTCATATTTGTTCACGATAAAGCACCGTATATGAAAGCAAATATGACTCAACAATTGACAAAAGGCAACAATATCAAGTTTTGGGGTAACAATATTTGGCCCGGAAATTCACCTGATCTAAACGTAGCTGAACACATTGGAACAATAATCAAAGATGAAGTTGAGAAAAGAATGCTGTCAGAGACTGGAAATGATCGGTATAGCGAAGAAACACTGAAAAATCATATCATCGATGTTTTGCAAAACATGGAAACAGACACAGAACTTTTAGAAAACCTTTTATGTTCATACTCCTCAAGATTACGTGCTGCGAAAAAAACCAAACGGTGGTCACACAGATTATTGATTATGCTAATGAACTTCAAAAAGAATAAACATTAAACTAATAAATCTATCAGTTTAAAGCCAAATAATATCTTCTGAAAAAAAGTTTTCTCAGTCGTGTTTCCTTCCCTATCCTAAAATTTTCAGTAAACCTATAGTCAATGACTATCGATCACATTACCAACTATACCTGTTAACCCCATTTTTCACGAGCTTTCATTTGGTATAAAATTCAATATTGATATCATTTGTTATTGGAGCTATACCCCCCCGGGCAAAACATTTCTCGCAACCCTGTATAAACACATAAAAGTAACATTATATCATAAATTTTTATGAAGTTTAGGTGGATCCGAAAAAAAGTAAAGTAAAGAGTAAAGTAAACTTTTCATTGGTCAATTAGATCAATCAGGTTCGAAAACTAGTACAATCGGTCTAATTAACCAATGAAAAGTTTACTTTACTCTTTACTGGTCACGATATGCTAGGACTGAAAGTTAGGCTTAAGTTGCCACAATCAACGTAAACTCACAATGACGCCAGCGACTTAGGTCTGGTTTTCAGTCCTAGCGTATCTTGATCCTCTTTATTTTACTTTCTTTGGGGGCCACCGAAGTTTATCAGGTCTGCAGTATTTATTAGATGTTGGGGTAACCCATCATGAACACTGACATCGTTTTTAGTGATGGCGTTGGATCACAGTCCTACTGTCACGAACTCATCATGTAATAGTCACATTCGCAGACAAGATCTTATGATCTTATTAGCGATACAGATGATACACTCACAATTCTAAAAACTAACACACCAACTTGTTTAGGTTCGCTGCAGAAAAAAAGAATTTGCTTTTGCTCGAAAGTGGTATGAAACGGACGCCACAACGATATGCTTCTGTAAATACATTTTATTAAATATTTAGGCTCAATGACCTCGTACTATCATCTGGCATGGTCGAAAATCTGTTATTGTGCTTAAAGATCGTTGTTTACTAACATCAATAGATTTTTACTTAATCTTAATATGCTTCAACCAGATTCTATAGATGACAGAAAAAATTGTAGTATTTTGTCGATTTCTGCTATCATAATGATAAACTTTACAATATGGAACATCAGTTTGATGTTCTTTTTTCTTCAAATATTAAAGCTTTTTCCACAACCTTACATAAAAGTTTGTGTTTCTATACATTATATTTTCAAAACAATTGTATCTCATTAAGAAAATCTGAACCATGAATCAAGAACACTTGCTGGAATAAAAATCATTCTTGGAAATACAAAGTTCAAGAGTTTGATGAAAAGAATGAGGGATGCAATCGAAAAAACTATTCGTGTCAATGCGAAGGTGTTGGTGTCCAGCTCAGTTTTAAGTAGAGTCGATATTTGCAACTGACACTATTCCTTAGATTTTGTTACTGTGCTGAATTCGGACACTAGTAGTACCGATAACTCTTCATCTTAGTCTTACAGTTTTTTTAAATATGTTTCTCATTAGGCTCTATGTATCTTAGTTTTGGTAAATAAAAGTTTGATTACAATGTATGTCGGGTTTTTCCTTAAGAAATAATGTTCTCACCGAATATCATCAAGAAAAAAGCTACGTTATTAACTAACAAGAACAAAAGAAAAAATTAAAGTATCTTTCACTATAGATCACATCATATTAAAGTTCATTTAGTAAAGTAACATGTTATTATCCTTATGTACAATTCTGCTGTGTTAGTCAAAATCTTTACATATCATAACAACATGAGATCAAGCATGACCTTGCATCGTACTCGTCCTCCGTTCCTCACTTTTCCTAATAACTTACTATGAGATTTTCTATTCGAAATGTTTCTATATTATTCACCCAATATCCATTTTTCTTTCTATGTTCTCTGGTTCTTATTTCATATTTGTAAGGTTTCTGATATTTAATCCAAAAGTAGATTAAGTCTAATTTATTTTAAGCCCTATTATTACGCAGTAATTCTAATCTAGAACTCAGATGTTCACTATACAACGGAAAAACTTTTATTTCATTCAGATATTAAAACTGTATTGAGGTCCAACTGTCAGAAACTGATCTCACTAAATACAATATCGACTTAGGCTAAACTTTTAGGAAATGTTAATCCTATCAGAATACAGTTAGGATGGAATTTTCGATACTCCATCTAATAACTTCCAAAATATGTCGCTAAAGTAAAAGTCAAAATCGAGCTGCTTGTTTTTCCAAACACTTTGGTCAAGATTAATGCCTGAAGAGCTCGAGTTGATGTTAAAGTGAAGCTAACAGATATATCTAAAGCAGGATGAGTCATTCATTTCATCCTGCAAATCTATGGTAGCTCTCGAAAGTGAAAAATGCAGAAAATCGACAGAAATTTTTCTATACGTTCAGTAATAGACGAACATCCGAAATCAGGCCTCGGTCCTGTTCTAGATATGTTTTTAGATCAATTTAAAAAACAAACTCAAGTTCTTCAGCATCGATTTGGGTGGAGGTATTTGAGAATAATGCAAAAGACTTATTTGTTGGAAAAACTATATTTCTTGATAAATTTGATTGAAAATAGTCTCCATATATATTTTCATAGTTTTTTAACTATACTGAATTTAATACACATGTGCGCATTCATGTACCACATAAGTAGTTGCGCGTATGGACAAATTTTTTATTAAAAAAAGATGACACTGTGGACTATCACACCAATGGATGTTTATAAAAATCGATATTCTTGACAGAAATTGTCATTTCTAACCAAGAAGGCGGAAGGGGAGAGGGGCTGAAGAAAAGAAATAGAAAACATCACAAGCAATAGGAATAGAAAACAAAAAATAAAATGCTCTCTACGCTAACAGACAAAAAGAATTGATTACAGTAAAGCATTTCAGATCAAATCATGTTCTTCTAATTCGTTGTGGTAAGGGTCGTTGATTTTCCATTGCCCAATCGTGTCGAGAAATTAATTTATATGATAATTTCATTGTTGGTGTCCTATACGGACATAATGTAAACTGATCAATGAAACTGTTTAAACAATAGTAGAATGCTCGATTTCGACTAAGATTTTCACACGCTTCAGCAAATGCAAATAAATATGTTGCAACATAGGAAGCATCTACGTCAGATTCATTTCTCGATAAATCAAATTGATTTTTTGTTTGAATGTACAATTGATATTCATTATCACAATCATTTAAAAATCGAGGGAGACGAGATTTTGTCCAACCAATCCATTCGCCAAGTTCTAGCAAATTATGAGCAGTCAGTTTCAATTGTAATATACTTCCATATAAACATTTTGAGTGAGGAAATTGTTTAGTCATCTGTATAATATTTTTCAAAATTAACATCTTACTATCGGTATGTATATGTACGTCAATATAATTTGATACATTCTGAAAACCTATTAAATAGATAGCATTCAATGATCAAATAGAAGAAGAAAAAAAAACAAATGTAAGTGTTGATTTTCTACTTCTACATACCTTCAACGATGAGATCACGTGTAGTTTTTGTTGTATTACGTGCGGTATTCATTAATGGTGATGCCGGATATAAAATTTTCATTGCACCTCTAGAATTAATATCCAAATTATTTAATGTTGTATCACGACGATAATATGTTTTACGTTTAGAATAAAGTTGTACACTCTCGTATGACCAATCAAATTTGGAATAATAATCAAAGAAATATCGTACAAGATCAAAAAAGTTCTCCAATGTAAAATTTTCTAAATCAGACAATGATTGAATACAATGACGAGACTCATCAAAATATTCATGACAAACAATAGCAACCAAAACAGCATACGAATAACCGCCCAAATAACCATAAACTTGACCGTACAAGCCAACAGATTGTGACCATTGACGAACAAAGGTTAACAAATATTGAAATATGTATGGGCAACGTACATAAGATAATAATCGTTCAATATCATGAACCTAGAATAAACTAGAATGATGTAGTGTTTACATTCTTACTAGAGTATGTTTAACGTACCCCATGTACAGGATCTTCAAAATACATGAGACCATTATTCTTCAATAATTGATTGTTCAACACTGGCTTTTCTTTAATATCGAGAAATAGTTCTGCTCGTGTATTATCTTTAAACAATATCGAGATTAACGGATACATTGCTTGAATATGTCTACATTCAATAACATCGTCCATTGTTTGTATTTGTTGTTCAAGCATTTGTAATATGTACAATTTTGAATCTATTTGTTGTTCATTCGCAATTATCCGATCAAGATTTGTTACTCTTGTCTTGTCATATGGTTGATATTCACGTAAAACAAACACGGTATCTAAATCAGCTGCATTTAAACCAATTCGAAAGCTACCGTAGGGATAATAATCGCTTTTATAACGTTCTAATGTTACATCAGAAAATATTTGTTTAAAACACTTATTTAAACGTTGAAATTTTTCTAATTTCATTCCAAATGAAATTTCACTTTCATATAAATTTTCTGAGTGAAAAAATTCACGTAAACTAATATCACAATTTAATTGATAATAATTTAAACGTTCAAGTGTAGATCCAAGCGGTATTTGATATTCAATATGAAATGGAGTATCATCAGTTTGACGTATTAGATAAACACTATTTACCAAAAAATGAATTTGATCATTCAAAACTAAAAGCAAGAAACAAAATATAAGATATATACAGCATATAATGGAGTCGATAGTTTTCTAAACAAACTCCCTCGAATTTTACTTAGAATACTAAAATAGACTTGATCTAACAAAGAAAATAAAGTAGTATTCTCTTTTAAAATTACCTAGAGCCGAATTGTCTCTATTATTATCATTCTTTTGTATGGTACTTTGTTTACATCGTGCAACAGTGAGATGTGGTGTATATTTTCCATCATTTTCTTTATTCATTTTTTTACAACAATCTGGATATATCTGTTTAAGTTGTTCATGAATATTTTGAACAAGTTCTTTTGATTTATCAGCTAATTTCATGTAAATAATGTTTTGCTCTTGAAAACAATCAAGTCCATTTATATCAATTTGAAACGGTTCTTGTTTTGTTAACAAGAGTCTTAATTCAAGTAATAATTTTTCATCAAATTCTTCATAATAGGGATAGACAAGGTTGATAGTAGGTGGCCATTGTGCATATAAAGGATCGTACATTTCTCTTATCCATTGAATTTCATTCCACGTATGATGGGGTGGAATAATAACAATTGCTGATTTTGAACTTATTTTTCGACCTTTCAAATGTAAAATACATTGAAGACCATAATGATCGGATGGATTTAAATAAACATCATCTTCTCTATTGACAACATATGTTTCAAAGCCGATCATATTTAAATGTTCAATGTCATAGTTTAATTTTGTTTTTAATAAATAACGATCTTCACGACGATTAATCATTGTATGAGATGTAATTTTTGCGCATAAATTACGAGATGGATCGAATGTATAACCAGGATTCTAAAATGTATATTCAAATTTAGAAATAAATAATGTAGACAAACAGCATAAAATCAATTCTCATGAAATCTCTTTTAACTTTTTATAGAAGCTCACACGAAATTTATTCACAACTATAATGTTATCCTTAATAGTTTACCTCGTCTAAATCATAAACATCTTTCCATAAATCATTTAACATTTGATTACTCAACAAGTCTTGCTCTTTCATATCATTATCTCCAAAATTAAAATCACCCATTAATAGAAAACTATCACTGAGAACTTTTAATGTTGTTAATAAATTTTTTAAGGAATTACAACATTTATCATCTAAACTATTGAGACCATTATTGTGCAAATGTAAATTAACAATATCTATGGTATTGTTTGTAGATGATTTCAAACCAAATCGAGCTAAAATAACTTCTTTTGTCATCTCCATCTCTAGTGAATTTGTGATCTGTTCTTCTTTTCCTTCGGTTATTGACAACGGTAAAAATTGTACAGAATACGGGCGAATATTTTTTGATAATAAAAGTTGTCCATAATAATTTTGTTGTTTATATTTTGAATCTTGACTCATTAGAACATTTTTCGTGATAGAAATGTAATAATTTTCATTTTTTAACCATACTTCATTTAATAATAATCCTAAAAAGTCATATGTCACTTCTTGTAAACAGACAATATCCGGCGATAACGTTCTCAAAGCATTTAGTATGTAACAATAACGTTTTTCACTATAGATTTCGGCTTCATGATAATAATTGGACAGAATATTCCATGTTAAAAAATGGCAACGATCAGGCAATAAACTTTCAGATGGTATAATAATATCATGGTCATTTTCATTCATTGGTTTCAATAATGTTTGTGTAGAACAGATAATCCATTGTGCCTTTTCTACATCATATTTATAGACACCTTCATTCAGTATGGTTAAAGTATTTGTTACTAGAAACAAAAAGAATAGAATTATATATTCTTAAACATTAGGAATTCAGTTTCAACTTAATATCATTACGGGATTTTTTTCTTCTGTTCAAAACTAGGGACATTCAAAAATTAGAGCCACCGTCTCCTCAGTAATGATCAACATGTTCCTTCAAAACTCAAAATAAATGGTTGGTCTAAACTTTTATACCTGTCTGTAAGCTTTTTTGTTGATCATCTTCTACTGTTGTTTGTATTGCCTCCAATCTTGTTAATATGTCAACTTTTTTCATTCTATCCCATACAATTTGTCCATTAATTTTGTAGTATCTTACTCTATGCATCGGTACACCAGATCCACGATCGTGTCCTTTTTTCCATTGACTAAATGTAATTTCTTGAATACCGTTAAATCTATCTTCATATCCAATCATAATTTTTGTTTGATCTATTGTTTTATCCCATAACAATCTATTAAATATTGCATCAGCTCCTCTGAATTTTGTTGGTGTTGTCTCTTCTTGTTGTTGATGAGATGATGAAGTATTGGGTTTATCTGGCTTAATCATGTCTGTTGGTACTTGAACCAAAATTTTATCTTGCAATCTTTGAACTAAATCATAGATAGTGAATTGATTTTGTTTTAGTTCATTCTCGAAATAGGCTTTTATTTCCAACCATATCTCGTTGGAAAACGTACAACTGTTTGTTTTTGTCAAACGTAAATCGTAAATATTTGATTTTGTTAATACTTTTTGATCACACAGTGGATCAAATAAAAATTGAAGGTTCAGACCATGATTAAGTTTAATGGAGAATAATGTAAAATCGCCAGATTCTTGAATTAGAACATGTTTATCTGATTTTAACAGTGTACGAAGTTGTTTCACTTGAGTGTCAATCGACAATAGTTCACTGTTATTATTTGATTCTTCTTCTGTCATGATGTGCGGATTAGTCTAGTTAGATAAAGAGGAAAACAACGATGTTCACTATTAGAGGATGATTTCACTAAAAGTTAATGGTATGATGGCAGAAAGATAGAATCTTTCTCTTTTTCGAATTCTTTCTTTTGCACTATTATGCTATGAACTTATCTTTCTCAAAGATGTAGAATACGACTTTTCGAATCTATATGTCTATAGGAACTCTTTGGTAATAAGATTGACTAAAAGGAAGGGCTGAGCAATCGGTTTCTATTAACAATAAAAAAATGCTATTTTTTTCTTCAATTTTGTAATAATCTTGTCGAAAAAACTTTCTGGATTCATCTGCCCAACGAAAGTTTTGTTGATGTATGTAGGAACAGTTGATTTTCTTGTTTCTTCTTCTAAACTATACGCAGATCCCGTTCGTCCAGAAAAACATTATCTGAGGGTTTAAACAGTTCTACATACCTGGATAGTATACGTAAGAGTTGGACTCCTTGAGATAGAGTTTAGATTGAATTAATAAGTAAGCTAGTTAAATAGTATACAAAAGGCAGAAAAAAAACATCATGTAATTTCGAAACCAAAATTACGAAAATTGACAACAATGACGTGAGTGTTTATTTGAGTATGACTAAATCGATTATTGATGAAAAAACACAAGTGTTGCTGCATGTATAATGATAAATCTGTAAATATAACAAACATCAGACAACAAAATAAATAAATGATATTAATTATTCGAAAACTAAGGGATATAATTGCAGTATTATTGGTATCTACATGTGAACGATCTAATAACGAATCAAAACGATTCTTTGATCACATCCCATTGGTATATACTCGTAGTGATTCATAGAAAATTGCCTAATTAAAGTATTCTTTCGACAACGAAAAAAGCGATCGAGATGAACAAACGTAAAATACGTTGATACTGGCGCTTAATGAAAGAAATTTTAATGAAAGCTTATCTTGATCGAAGTAAATTTGCGTTACAGCTGGTAGCAGATCGCGGGATAGTTAATCGAAATGTATTGAATTGCACCACGTATAAGCTGTTTCTGATTACTAAATCATTTATTCTTCTGAAAAAATCTTTCGTTAGCTTTCAGATCTGTATATGGTAACCAAGTGAAATTAAGAAACAGTTATCAATGCACTTAGAATTCGTAGTTTAGGTCCAAACTACAAAAGTTAAGTGAGAAACTCGTAAACGTATTGGATGAAAAACTTAATTCCAACTTAAGTCGTGTGCTCGACATGACTTAAGTTAATACGTAAGTGAGAAAAGAGTGTAGTCTGGACAAGGCCTTAGTCGTATGTCACTACATTTGTTGCTGACTCATACAAACAAATAAAAGGTGATGTCAAGTTACTGTGATTGTTGCTATGTAAAATCTCTATTCTATGGCCGTACTGCACGAAAATCAATATCGAAAGTGCTGTACTGCGTAAATGATTTCTTCGTTTCTACTTTCAAACGACTGAGTTTTAAAGCGAAAAGAATATTTAAATAAAGTAATTAACGTTTTTCGATATCAAAAAGAACTTGCCCATCTTTATTGGATTCAGTATTTCGATTCTACAGCAATTTCGATAAAGTGATTTTCTTTATGGCTGATGACTCACAAAACGATTTTTTAATTGTTTCGTTCTAAAGCACGCTTCGTCTGTGTGAACTTCAAATAAAGATGAAAAATAACTCAAACGTGAAAATGATTTGTTTTGATTTTAGTTTGATGAAATATTATTCCCTTTTTGGCGTAATTTTTGGAGGAGAAAATAGGCAGTAAAAAAAAGAAAGAAGTATATTACTCAAGTTGTTATGACAAATACTCTGAAAAACACGAATAGTATGGATATCTTCGGCTGATTGTAAGATGGGGATACAGTGTAGTTTTCGACAAGAGTTGAACTTTTGAGTTTTTTTCTGTAAAATAAAGCTATGAAGTATGGTCCGAAGTAAACATTATCCTTTATCGTGCAAAATCTTTTCCTGACTTTATCAGTGTACCATAGCCTACATGTTTATATGGTTCTAGATTCCATTGTCTGAAAATAATATCTGTAAACTAACTAAAGTTAACAGTTGTGTGATATCTGGAATAAAACCCAATTCGTCTGGTTAACTGCTTATGTACCCAGACAAAAGAAAAAATCGATAAGCTAGCTCAACCTAGGTAAAGCGGTACATTTAGCTAGCTCAAGCTAGCTACTACCTAGCTGGAGCTAGCTAAATGTACCGCTTTACCTAGGTTGAGCTAGCTTATCGATTTTTTCTTTTGCTTGGGTAACTGTTTTATTTATGCCATTCTTTAATATTTGTGCGTTAACTAAATTTATCGCTCGTGAGAAAATCAAATTAATTCAATATCAACATCATTAGCAAAATATGTTCTAAATGTTTCATTTGATCAACATGAATTTTAGGGAACAACAGCCGTGCTGTTGTTTTTTTTGGTTTAAGCTTTAATCTTGAATTAGAACGAAATCAAGAATATATAAAATGCTTTTTTTTATTGATTCACAAAAGACTAGTCCGTTAATATTTGCTGTTGGAACATTATAGATTCTTAGACGACGTTTCATAGAGATAAATAAAATCACTCGTACGATGGATGTAAAACCAGAGTCCATGCTACAGTTTCTTTTACAAGTGGGAACGTTTGGTATTTTCCTAGGACATGGTGTTCTAGCTCTTGGTGGTCCTGACAAACAGAAATCGTGGTTAAATTATCTGTACACAGCAGGATTTAATTATCAGATGGCAAAAATATTGTTGCCACTAGTTGGCGCATTGGATATTTGTTGTAGTTTCATTATACTGCTAAAACCACATCCACTTGTTACCACATATTGTGCAGTTTGGGGCTTTGCAACAGCTTTAATGCGACCGTTATCCGGTGAAAGTCCATGGCAATTTGTTGAGAGGGCGGGAAACTGGATTTGTCCGTTAGCATTATTGTATACTCAGACACATAAGACTCATATTCATTCTGATGACACGCAATGGTTCTATTATTTACAAATTGCGGCTATTTTAACAATTATTCTGTTTTTTACATGTGTTATCTTACGTATACTAAAAATCTTTCCTAGAACCAAAGAAGAGTGATCAATACGAGTTGCATTAAGAGTACTCCTCTCATTTCAGTTTTTTAAGGAAATTTTCCTATACGAACAGAAAACAAGATCTGATATTTTTGCAGTTGACTAGAAATTCCATTGGAACATATTTTCTATTGTGTGAGTTTCCAGTTACCGCCATTGTCAAAATTGCTGAAAAACTCGGCTTTTTAGTATTGGCCATTACGGTTCCTCGAAGTCGAGCTGAAACTTTTGCCATAAGATGCTAGAGGTCGAATTATGTTTATCTTTTTATCACCCCCGTACTTCAATGTTCTCTGTTCATATAGAAAAATTTCCTTATAGAGTCAAAAATGAGAAGGCGAGAAATTAAATGTTTTCGATTTGAATGATCTAGAATGCATTCGGAACTTTGTAAACTTCCACCAATGAATTTCATAAAAAAATTTTCTGTTAGTATTTATGGGATAATAAATAGTAATTTGTTGTAGTGTAATTTTTTTTTTGCAGTGTTTTATACTTTTCTAGAATACTGAATTATGCACCCTAAAGAAAAACGCGACTTATAATAAGCCACATAAATAAGGTCCGCAAAAGCCACGTGTTAGTGTTGCTTTTGGAGACATATGATGCAACTTTACCTGTTAGTCACTTTATTTATAACGTCTTTAATGTAGTCGCAGTAACGACATGTAAGGCGGATCCCATTTTATCGTACTTTAGCGACTCTTTTGAAATCATTTTGATATGCCTTCTGAAAAAACCCCGTTGAAAAAATTCTGTTCCTGCCGCCGGTTAAACTCGGTCTAGTCACGCTTGTCAGACAAATACATTCACTGATAAACCACACAGACACATTAGTTATTGGTCTTACTCGCCTCTTATCTTGACTTGTCATGAGAGACTGATTAAAAGTTAAAGTAGAGATTCATGAAAGTCGATAGGGCAAATGAAACTGCTTTTATCCACTTCGATAGTTTGGTCGTCTCGCACACTTAAGTTACAGTCTCTACTATTTCCATTAAAAATGGCTTAAGCTTCTCATTGATAATTGATTATTTCTTCTACAAAGTCGATAGATCCGCGGAAATACAGTAAAAGCAGTAGAGTTCCTCAAGTATTCTTAGCCTTTACGTAAGTTATGGCCTTACATCTGAAGATGGAGTTCTACATCTGCAAAGAATTGAAAAAAGAAAGAAAATTGAATAGAACTTTTTTAACAAACATTCGTCAAGCCATTCATAAAGACGTGACTAGTAAACATCTTTCTTGTTCAAACGTTTTCCATGTGACTTCCCATAGATGCATTCAAGGCGTATGAGGGATGTCCATTATTTTGAAAATGCATAAAAGACACTTTTTTCTAGGTAGACCTGAGACCAAAATCGCACTTTTTTAATAGTGTATTTAATAAAGAATATACTAGAACGTTCATATTTTTGGTCAAAAATCCTAATGTAGGCCGGCCTGGTTATCTTATATTTTAAAATAGTGATCGATGAACAAAAAACACTAATTTATTCATAACTAACTGCAAAAAGATTTTCTAACAAGTATTCAACTTTTTTATCAGAACAAATGACCATTGACTTAGTTGTAACCACCTTGATCTTTAAATATTGTTTCGATCTGTTGATTATACGGATTTTGTTTTGATAACCATTGTGGATGAACAGTATTTAACCAATTCCAAAAGACATCTGATACAGTTGCATGACCATATTGATTGATATGAAATCCATCGACAGCTTCGATCAATTGCCATGCTTCACCACCTTGACTTGTCCATTCATTCAATACAGTTTCAAATGGAAAATCTAAATAATCTGAATCAAAATTTTTTGCTGTATAAGACATAGTGGCCTCTTTAACAGCTTCCGATAAATCAACTGCTCGTTGAGTTGTTAGATCTCGTAGTGTACCGTTGGATGATAGCCAACCATTGCATGGTGATATTTGTAGACATGATAAATAATCATATACTTCGCGATAGGTAACTGGATAGCCAACACGTCCATATGGATGGACTCTATCGTGTAATAAATCATAGAGTAAGCTACCATTTGCAAGTCCTAAAATCCAAAAATATGTTATAAAAGAAAATAACCAAAATAGACTAACCTGTCGTTAATACATGTGATCCTTTGGGAAGTGTGGTGTCCAAATATGCTAATGTTTTTAATACATTTGCTTTCATTTCATCGGGTTTTGTCATATGATCAATAGTATCCGGGTGTCCATTACAAACATCATTACCAACAAGTGAATAGATAACAAGTAATGGTGCATCATTTATTTGATCTCTTGTCAAGGATTTGGATATGTCGATCATACTTCCACTTCTTGCACCATTGACAGCAATATTTTGATAATCCCGATGATTACAATGATCTCTTTCGAATAGACGCTGGTAGATCGATCGTGTTTTACCTGCAATATTTGGCCAGGTTATGTTGATATGACCAGTAGTTGCTGATAATTGTGGCCAATCTAATTCATTTTCCAATATATACCACATATGTTCAAAAACAGGTTTGCTAAACATTGATGCATCCAACCATTCTTCTGGTATGTGAAAATGTGCTGAAATTGAATCACCTAATACAGCAATGCCCATACGATTTGTTTCATTACAATAATCTTTTTCATAAGCTCGGCCACTGTCAGAATTAATGCCCAATATTCCATTGCAGTTATGATCTAGCGTTGCGTCATCATTAGATGCTTTCGCGCCTGGGCGTGCAGATGCTGAAAAATCATTGCAGTCTTTTCCACGCCATGCACTTCCTCTCAGTGAACTTTCAACACCGAACATATCATTATCCATATCTATTAATGGTTTATGGTTATTAAACACGTTTTCGATTAATTTACATATTTCACTAATGCCAGGATACTACAACGAAACAATAGCAAACAAAAAACATTGGAAGCAACAAATAAAGTTCTTACTTGACAAATATCCGATAACAATGTTAATATTGAACGACCAGTAGCTACTTGTTTCACATCGTAATGATCAACAACAGCGATACGTTCTGAATGACGACTTCTTAAGAGTTGTGCACGTTGACTAAATCCTGTTGGTGGGGGAGATAGATGACACTGAGGCTGATTAGGATCATTTGTACAAAATTTAAGTGAATGACAAATAACATCAGGTGTTTCTTTAGCTTCCAAACCATCGATTAATACTGGTCCTAAGAACTCAACAGCAATTTTACAGTATGATCTTAATTGTGTTGGTAAATAATTGCATAAACGTTCAATAGACGAGACAACCGATTCATTATGAACGACGGTTAATTTCTCTATAAGACCAACAACAATGGTACATGTTGCACAGTTGATCCCTCCATTAACACCATTACTTAGAATACCGTCTTGTGAATTAGCGTGGTAAAATAAGCATAGCAAAAATATGCTAATTGCTATTAAACTTTTAGAATACATGTTGTCCTTGTACTTCTAATGTTGACAATTAGCTAGCTTTTAGTGTTTATCACCATCATTAAAAATAAATATTTCGATGTGAAATTTTTAAAAGTACTACAGCTGTTCGTAGCACATGGATTAATTCCCGTATTGTGTTGTTAGCTGTAACAAAACAAGATTAGTTTAAAATATTTGTCACGGAGTTAAAATTGTAAACACTTTTAAAAAACATTATTTTTGTTTTATGAAATGTAGTTGGTGCAGAAGTGATTTTCATATTCACAAAATTTACTTTTTTCGATCATAGTATGTGTGGGTTTGTCCCGTATATCCAAAAACGTGTTCTTTTCGGTTTTTACCTGAACGATAATGTGCATAACAATTTATATGGAAGCAAAGAAAAGCCATGTTCTCCGATTGTTTTAGATTTGGTCGATGGTTAGAATGAGACAGAGAAAGTTCTTGACGTAATGGTACCCATTAAGTGGGATGTAATTAATCCAATTGTTAAAATATTTGACAAGATGCATATCAAATTCTTTCAATATCATAAACATTCGATAATTAAGAATAATTTGTAACAAAAATATCAACACTTGTTTGTTTGATTGATATCGTACACATGTTTCGATAGAAAGCATAATTCTTCCTTGAAACCAACTAAACGTTTTTTCAAGGGCATTTTCATTAACAAAAAACAATTTTTGTTGCTAGCGGATATGATAGAAATATGAACTTGTCTTTATTATTGTTTAAACACTTTCAAAATCATCATCATCTGTATTCGATTAGTCATCGTCACTAATGATTTTATTCAAACAATACATAAAAATATCGCTGTTGGCACCCAGTGGCATTGAAAGTATAGCATATATTACCATTAGTGAGTTTAGTTGTACATTGAACATTTGTATGTTCTCTTACATATGTTTGATAAGATGAAAAAAACATAACAAATTGTGTATGGCCTTGGATAGTATAAATCCAATTGTTTCAATTTTGAAAAGGAAAATTAATTTAAGGGAAAATTGATCTAAAACAGATTTTCTCAAAAACTACCAATAAATATGAACATATTAGTATAGTATTCTTTTAATCCAGTCTTCAATCAATATTCTGTTGACTTATTAACTGTCAGAATATATTTTCACTCGTTAATGACTGTATAGTATTAGCTAAAACCTTCACTACGACTATTCTATTAATTATGTCCTTCTCCTGTTAATTTCAAATTAGTAGATGAGATATAAGAGTAAAGTAGAACTTTAGTTTTTACAGAAATATTGGTCACATATCTAAAATTCCTTTATTAACTGTCAACTGTGATCGAGTCCAGCTAGTTATTGTTTCTTTCTTCTTCTCTTCGTCGTATAGTGTGTGTGTGTGATTATGATTAATTTATGTACAGATTTCTTTTTCAAATTTGAGTTCATCTGGTCATCTGTACAACATGACCAAAAACTTATGTCATAATTACGTTTTTAAAACTACTGCTGTAAAATTAACGAACAATGCCATATAATTGGGGAAAAGAAAAGAAAAGAGAGTAAATTCTGTCAGATATCATAGTGAGGAGAAGAAAAAAAAAGAAAGAAAAAAAATCAAATAATAAATGTTGTGTATGATCTTTGTTCCGTTCTCTGATCTACTGAACATTTCTCTAATATTCTCAATAGGTATACAACGTACATATCTCAATACAATTATTTATGGAAATCAAATCAATTATTTTATATAAGAAAATTTAAACTATTTTTCAAGAGGTTTGTATATTAATAGATTACTTCATTATCGTTCGTTTTTCGTTGAGTGTGGTGTGTAAGAAAGTCGTTCAGTTATATTATATAAAAAGTATACGCGTATATACGTTATATAAATACAGGTAACTCATATATATTTCTAAATATTTTTATTATCAATTTGGAAAAAACATCATGAACAGTGTTTTCTGTGCAAATATTTACAAGAGAAAAATATAATCGGTTAACTAATAGTGTGTAGCGCTCAATTTGAAAATATAATCTAATTGTATCGAGAATGTGTGCTCACTGTGTAAAATACACAGTTTTAACGAGTTATTTTAACATAAATAAAAAAAAAAACAGTTTAGACATATTTTTTTTAAACCGTAATTTTTTGACTATTTTGAGAAGGGCTTAGGGAGAAAAAAGTTTTCTTTTGTGGTTCTGAAGGTATGCTGAAAGAATTTTCGATTTGGAATGAGTAATTTCTCATTGGATGAATGACATATTGTAGAGTTTTTCTCTGAGGGAGAAATAGAGTATTCCATATTAATACATTGTTATCCGAAGTTGAACATAAGCAAATTGTCAATCAATTTTCAGCTCGACTTTTTTTTCTGTTTTCGAAACTGAATGAGCACGAATAATAAGAATCAAGAAATTCACATGCTGTTATTTCGTTTAATCTATCAGCATCTTTATCATTCCGTTAATAAATAACATCTTTGGTTCACTTTCTATTCAAGGCCACATTATTTTTCTAATATTTCCTCCCATCACTCTTTTAAGTTACTTAACAGAAGATATTTGTTTATACAAAAATCAAATGGCACAGTCGGAACCGACTATTTTCTTGTACTAAACGACACCTCTATATCATGATGATAGCAGATGTTTTCTCTTTTCTCTCTCTTTCTCTCTTTCACAACATCGAACCATTTCAAGGTATTTATTTTAAAAATGAAAATTATTGATGATAACAGAATTATATTGACCCAAGTCATACCGTTGTCAGGTCAGCTATGAAAAACTAGAAACAGTTGGCTGCAAACTCTGTATAGATAGTGGCCTCTTTTTTTCTAAAGAGCAACGTATAAATCTCATTTTACTTTAACGATGATATTTGCAAAAGAGAAATTTAATGCAGTAGAGGAAGATATTAATGACTCTTGGAATAAAACATATAAATATAGAGTCCTAGCTGAGTAACTATAATATTATATATTCGTCTGTTTTCTACTTAACATTAATTCCGCATCTTTAGTTTTGTAAGTTAGATACACTGTCCGATAATAGTTGTGGTACATGGAAAGTAAAAGAAGAAACTTTGAACTGCTACGTATATTGTCGTGTCTTCCTAAGTATTCCATTCTCAATCTCTCTCTCTTTCTCTCATTCTTTCTTTTGGATAATATGTATTTATTATGGAGTACACAAAAAGAGAGACTATTATTAAATAGAATTGCATATCATATTAGTTGTCTCATCCATACTATATGATAATGGAAAAATGTCAATTTATTCGATATTTATTCAGGACGTTTGACGCCTGAATCTGATATTCATATCTGATTGAGCTGGAAAACAGGGTTTTATCATCACATCTGAGAGCTTTAATAACATACACCATAGAATCTTTCGTTATCTGTTGTTGGCTATAACTTACTATTTCTCACCTTCTTTCTTAGACTGTTAGTTCCGTGCTTCTTCGAATTCTGTTGTAGTTTTTCTATACAAATATGAATGAATAAGAAATGGATGTAATTACAACTGACATTTGTTTGAAAATGTTTTATAGCAACCACACTATCTATTGGAAATCTATCTATCTATCTATCTCACTACATACATTGATTAAAAGGTCACTGTTATCTTGTGGCGTTACATTTTGATTATAATCTAACTTTAAACATCATAAGTTAACTGTCTCAACATCATATTCACACTATTTTTCTGGTGTTTTGTTTTTAGTTCTTATATCTGTTGATGAGAGTTCTGTATTTGATTTTAGTTTATTGATGTTTGACTAATTTTATTGTTACTAATTGGCCTAATAGAGACATGTTGATCTGAGAACAATGGTTGAAAAATTTGTTACCACTTGGTGAGCTAAAGGTCGTCGCTCCATTGTCATCAGTAATGGAGGTCGTTGATTGAGTTATAAGATAGAACGTTTACTATAGTTGTTTAGGTATTATATGCTTCTCTTTTCCTCTATAAATTTTGAAACTACACTTGTTCAATATTGGCCAACCTCATACTAACTGATACAGACAACTTCCTAAAATCTATTAATAGTAATAAATTGAATACATTAAGATGGAATAGTACAAACTTTTTTAGTCAAGTATGAAAAAACAGGTAGTTGTATTTAAGTAATTACATGGATGCAAGTGAAAAAAAGAATTAAAATTTTAGTGAACCACAGTGGTAATTTTTCCGACAGTCTTTCTTTCTTCTGATATTTTCGAATTGAACTATGTGAGTAATGTTACATACGAACAAATTACAGAGTATTCAATTGTTATAATAAGATAACTGAGATCATTATTACTGTAGCTCCCAATACACTTATGAGGTTAGAATATATATCTGAACTAACATTTTGTTAAAATAGTCTTTTTTTATCTCAATTTTTTAAATATTTATACTAATGTCTACGATAATTCTCACCCTGAAGTTTTGATGATACTGGTGATGATATATTCATAATTATAAAATCAAATAAACAATTTGTTGATTAAAAGAAATATCGTTATCATCAGTCATTCGACCTCAGACAAATAACTTTTCTTCTTGTTCTTACAAATAAATGATATTAACAGAATTTCTTGTTCAATATCGATTGCGACTGCATGAAATGGAATAATAATAAACAAAACATATCGCGGTTCAAGTTCTTAGAAGACACAAATGGTTTGTTCATTATGTTGTTTTATATTGAAAAAGCGTCCTTGTTGATTCGATAAAGAAAAAGATTTTCTTCTCATCAAGTTTTCTTATACTAGTGCTATAAGTTTTTCCGATTCGAACAGTTCAAACCAAATACTTATACAATGTAAAACTTTTTCGTTCAGTCGTTTTGATAGTGAAATATAACGTTGCCACATATGAATGATATTGCTCATAGCCTTGTTATTGATAATAACCCGTTTGAAACAATTAAAAGAGGCATGTACACACGACACTGTAGTATTTAGTATTTGTTTATATATAAAAACAAGAATATCGTTAGTTGTACATGTGTACATTTAGCTTGAACTAGAATAATTCATAGTTAGAAATAGATTATAGTAAAGTATATATGATATTTTGTATGAACAATGAGATATTGTATACGTGCTTTTCTAATAAATAAATTTTTTTGCAACTGGATACAAAAAAAATCATGTATACAAAAACTTAACGGTATACAATTTGTAGTGCTCTGGCACAAATATCTATATTCGACAATATCAAAACTACAAGATTATTCTGACTAAATTGATCAAGATATATAGTCAGAGAAAGATCGATGATATGGTCTAAATGATTGATGTTTTTCCTATGAAATATCAATCATCTATATAGTAGAAAAATGTGTGTAGTTAGTACAAGTGGCACGAATAATGATGATAGTCAATATCATTGTCTTTTGATCACAACCGTGTTATCTTGTGTATATGCCAAATCTCGATTGTTTTTAACTAAATTACATCGCAGTTTATTTTCTGGTACAAAACAGCTCAGAGGGAATTAATATAGTTTTAAGAGAGTCTCTAGATGATTGTCTAACAAGCATGAGAGTAGAGTGAGACGTCATCTCTTTATGTATGTAAAAGATGCGTTCAGCTCAAAAGCATGTTAGCATCGATATTCATCGGAATATAGCTGCGCTGGCTCTACTGTTAATGATCATCATTTCAAAACTGAATGTGAAGATATACAATTAACCAATACAACGATTGTCTTGTTCGATAGTCAATCATAAAAATCACTTTCGTTTTTCTTGTGTTAAGAATTTGATGATCTGATCTTGCAGAAGTTCAATCAACGATTCTCTTCATATTTTCTCAGCTTTTAATCACACACTGAGCAAAAGATAGAATCATACACACAGATATATCTATGTAGAATTGATATGCGCCACAAATGAATAACATACCGGATGAAGAAAATGGAACTGTAAAAGAAAAGAAAAGAGAAGAGTATCAATTGACAATAACTGACCATTTATCCGCATGTAGATATTGAACTTTTCTCATGTATATTTAGACACTCTCTTCTTCCTTAATAATAACTATCTATCTATCTGTCTAGATTTGTTAGTCTTGTTTCGTGGAAATTATTAAATAACTCGATATATATCTAGAATAATGTAATAATCAACTAGCAAGGTTTTAACAGTTGTACAGTTATAGATTCTCATGAACAAAAAAAAAGAGACATTTTTTAGTGATAAATTGATCAAACGAATGTTTGTTTGTCATAATACATACATACACATATATTAAATTAATTGCGCCTGATCTCAAATAACAGTAAGTGTACTACCAAGATTAACTTGGATAACCTCGACGAATTAGATAAGAAATCCTATAGTAATTCTCATAAAGCTACTTAAGTAACTATATAGACTGACTTTAATATAAAAGTGATACAGAACACATTCAAAAGTGTTTTTCGGAGCATTCCCATGAGAGTGGCTAACAAATCATACATTTATATTTTTCGTTTTTAGAAACGATTACGTGTAACGATGTCGACTTTTCCTCTTCTATCATTTATTTTTCTAATATATTTAATTGTTGTTTATTCTGATCAAGAATTTTCAATATCTGCTCAGAAATCTGAGAATAATAATCAACATCAACTATCATCGCCAGCAAAAGGTCGCTCTCGTCTTCGTCGACGTGAATTTGTTCAAGAAGAAGTACGAAAAACAATGTTTCAATATATGACAAGTTTAAAAGGTGAAATAACCGATGTTGTTCTTGAAGAAATGATCAATTATTATAATGGTCAAACATCAAAATTATATCGATTAGAAAAAGAATTGGTTAATTTGAAACAAAATTCATCTATGAAACCTGATCAACAACAATTTCTAGAAAAATTCAAGACAGAAATTATACAACTATCTCGACAACAGCGTTCATTTGCAACAAATATTAGTTCAATTGAAAGAAAAGTAACAAATATAACCGAAATTTTAAATGATATAACACAACGGCTAATTGAAATTGATCATGGAGCCTCTTCAACACATGACAGTAATAAAACAACGACAAACATTGACCAACAGGCTAAAGATGAACAACAACAGCAACAGCAACAACAACAGCAACAAACCAATAGTCATGTAAGACGCTTGGTATCGTCACCAATTGTTAAGAAAGATCTTGAAGAAGTTGAAACGCCAACAGGTAGGTGAAAAGATATACTATAGATGATGTTTCATCAGACGTCTGTTCCGAAAGAAGAAACATTCGCAATAACCCTTTCAACAGAAAACTTTCTTTAAGTTCTAATCTGAAAAATAGGTCAAGTGTAGTACTTAAAGAGAAGTGAAGAAATGCAATTGTTCATCCTACACAGAAATAAAAAAACTTCCCAATCGGGGAATCGAACCCCGGCCGCCGCCGTGAAAGGGCGGAATCCTAACCACTAGACCAATTGGGACGGCATGCACGTTTACTTTGAACTCGGTGTATATGTTACAGTGGAAATTAAGGATATTTTATGAAAGGATTTTATTAATAAACGTAATTTCAAGAGAAAATCCCAGTTTTCAAACTATCAGAACAATATTACGAACAGCGTTTTGATTGAGATTTTGTCACTGTTTGTATCGATACTTCTAACTCCTCATCATATACTAATCAATCTGAGATCAAAACACCCCAGGTGATTGAATCGTACTATCCGATCGTACAAGATCGTATACGAATCGTACAAGATCGTATACGAATCGTACGAAATCATATACGATTATGTACGATCTACATACGAATCGTGGTACCTGATTTGTCGTCTGGCTCGTACTGTACGATATCATACGAAGTTGTATGATCGTATATGATCTTGTACGCTCCAGAGGACAAATTAGATACCACGATTCATATATGATTTTCATACGATTTGGTACGATTTTGTCTGATTCAGATACGATCCTAGTACGATTCTTCGACCTGGGACAACAAATTATACATAATCTATGTATAGTTTATTTGCTTTCCGTTCACTGATCTATGCCTGTTTTCTTCAGCTTTTTCTACATCATTACTAAAGATGCTCTAAAATGACAAACTGAAAATCCAAATATCAAATTGTAGACGATACAACTTGCTTTTCCAGAAAGACATTAAAATAGAATGTATTTTCAAAAAACCAATTGTACGTATAATTTGCTTCTGCAGATAGAGTTTGTCATAAAAGTTTCTAATTAAAACTTAACTGCTCTCTAGATTTTATAATATCGTTCTGATACTTTGTAAACTGGAATTTGTCCAATCTCTGTACAAACTATATTTTTTAGTTTTTGCTGATTTAAGATTTAAAATTGCAAAATTTTTAGAACAAAGACAAATATCTAATAACAAAGATTAGGTATAATTATTGTTTCTTGACTGTGATGCGAGGTATACATCATCAGCATATGATATCCATTTCTTTTACTTTAGTTATCACTATTATCTGTTTACTTGAAAAGTGTTTTGATTAATAGGGTACAAATTTATTCTGTCAGTTTTGTCTTATTTTAATCAACTAATCATTGAGAGGTCAAGTGTTTTTTTGTTTTTTTACTTAACCTTGATAACATTAGTGTATAGTTCCACTATAATATGAGATAGTTTCTTGTTCATCTGTTGCATAATCTAATTTGGATAATGATGTGTCCCAATAGAATGATCTCCATACATTATATCATTTTTAGCTAAGGTCGATTGATATGTAGATTTGTTTTTAATGAACTTTCTCTAGACAAGTTATGAATCCCCTCCAAGTTAGATAATCTCTATCCTGTCTGTTATGAACAGTATAATAAATGTCTCTCTAATGATAATAGTAATTAAATATGACCTTATTTTTTGTTATGATGAGAACAAATTATTTGGTATGCTTAATGCAGAAAATAAGCCGGACACTTGGAATCGCCAAGAAAATGAGCATAAAATTGATTTTCTTATTAGAAATAGATACAATATGCTGAAAACAAATACTGATTCATTCAGATAACACTTATTTATATAATCATAAATTTCACACATACAAAGACAGACAAAGATAACATAGTTGTGTAAATCAAAAACAAAATATATGCACACTTTATTAATACTATGTAGATGAACGGAACAAGCCCATTTTTGGATAAGATGAAGTTTGTGTTTAAGATAATTAATGGATTTTCTAATGAATGTCATATTCAAAGAGCGAATTTCAAGAAATATGTCAAGTCTAAATAGTATCTTAGTGGTTATTTTAGGCTAATGAAGTCTTCGTACGAGCGTTCTTAGTTTATTTCTACAGTCTAAAAACAATTCATCTTATTTGTGGCTGCAAATATAGTTGATGTTATTGAGAGAAGATGTTATCTGGTACTGACTATTAATCGTTTTGCTTCTTTCGAAAAAAAGAAGAAATCCTATAAGTTTTTTACATAAAAATTAGTAATCTGTATATAGCAGTTGGATCTGCAAAACAAAACAGTGTCTATTATCTTCTCGCTATCTAGTTCGTACAATCTGAAACTTAACTTGATAAAATCGTCTGTCTCAAAGTAAGATTGAAAATAATTAAAGTGGTTAGAACAAAACAGATTTATTACTATAGTGCATTAAAGTAACTATTCTAATTCTTCCAGATTGTGATGATCTTCTAAAACAACGTCCATCAACATATCAAGGTGGCATATTTCGAATAAAACCAAGAAATTATGGTGAACCATTCGATGTTCATTGTGTCTTTGAGAACAATACGGGTTAGTATGAGACGTGAAAAAAGTTTAGAAATTAGTTTGTTTCCATTCTTAAAGAAGTTTTATCACTTAATATCGTATTTACCTAATTCATGATGAAACATCTCGCAAGCTCGTATCCTACCTAAATTGAAGATTAGATCCTTCTCTAAAGAATCAGATATTTCGCAGCAATGAGGAGAATATATCTATAAATTGGATATCACCTAAATTCAAACGAGTTTATGTTTTCAAAATTTTAAAATTGAAATTAATAAAATCTGAAAAATTACCCACGGTATAGATTTACTCTTTTCTTTTCGTATTCATCAATAGTTTTTATTTTTTTAAATTAATATCGTTTTCGAGCAATTAAAACCCATTCATGATGCCGGAGTATCTTAAAACTTTTCTCCATTGTAAAAAAAAGTTTATCTTACTATCGAAATAGGATAAGAGCTTGCGAAATCTTTCATCATGGATCAAGTGAATACGATATTAAGCGGCAAAACTTGTTTGAGAATCCTCCTAAAATGAGGAAGAACGAAAATAAATTGATTTCTAAACTTTTTTCACGCATTTAATAATACATACACATAGATTTTATATAATGAAATTGTATTTGAATATTTAAAAGCTTGGACGATAATTCAACGACGAGTAAATGGCAGTGTTGACTTTTATCGTGGTTGGAAAGACTATAAAACTGGTTTTGGAGATTTGCGTGGTGAACATTGGCTAGGATTGTCTAAAATTCATGCATTAACATCTCAAGGACGATATATGTATGCTATATTAAAATGTCTGAAATATTTTTCTATACTATATGTTTTTTGTTTACGCAGGTTACGTATTGATTTATTACCATGGGATGCAACGGTACGATACGCTGAATATGGAAAATTTTCAGTTGGGAATGAAACAAATAAATATAAATTATCAGCATTGCAATATCGAGCTAGTTCAACAGCTGGTGACAGTATTTCAGCACCTTGGGACACTGCCAACGGTTCACCATTTTCAACCTTTGATAATGACAATGACAAACTTTTTTATGACAATTGTGCACTGACATATCACGGTAACTAAATACTATTGATTAATCAATCTATTTATTAATTTATTTTATTTTAGGAGCATGGTGGTTTACATCCTGTTTTCAATCTCATTTAAATGGACAGTACATTCGTTCGCCATTGGCCTTGTATAATACTGCTCGAAATGGAATTCATTGGAATACATATGGGCTCTATCATTCAATGAGAGAAACGACTATGAGAATAAGACGTAGTCAACCATATCGATCCTATGAACGAAAATATGTTGAGTCGGATTGAACACGAGACAGTTATCAATTGTCAGACTTAATTTCTATAAATTCACATAGTTTTAAAACATCAGAGCAACAAGACAATTTTTTTCACGTACTTTAGTAATCTTGAAAAAGAAACTGATTGTTAGTACAAGTGTCTAGTCTTTGTCCGATATAATCTGTGAGCCCGTCCAGTTATATTATACTAAAGCTCACTGTTTTGTGTACATTATTTTTATTGTTGTTTCAGTAAAGCAAGAATATGTGTCCATATTAATTGCATTAAAATCTCTATGTGCACTGAAAAGTATTACTAATTATAACATCCAACTTAATGATAGAGAACTTTTATTCTCTTCCAAGATCAGAACGATGTTTAGACCGCCCAATGAAAAATTAACTGATCAAAAACCGTAGATTTCTATCTTGTTCTACCAAATTTCATTTAAAAAAAAACATCCACGGGTGCTATATTTTGAAATGTACAGCATATTAAAACAAAAAGTAAATTTCTGTCGAAACTTAGAAACCAGCTTCATACAGACTCACATTTTCCAGTACATCTAAACTTTTCTATCTGATATTTCTGCAGAAGTCCAGTGTTTCAGCGATAAAAATTCTGTTTTGGAGAAAAAAAATCTTCACTGAGTCACATGAAAACGTCAGAACAGAACAGAACTAAAAAGAAAAGCAAAGCGATAAGGAAACCTGAACAGGTGAATATAATGAATCATTTTTTGCCACGCGATATTTTTCTTATTCAATAGATTATATTAAAAAGCTCGAAAAATTTTCCAGATTCTAGTGAAGAAGCTCTTCTAGAATCTATCAACGAAAACATGCATAAAAACCTCAGTTAGTAGAAAAATGGCTGCTGCATTTGACTATTTATGTAAAATTGTGGTTGTTGGAGAGAGTGGTGTAGGTATGTGAAATTAAATCACATTTTCCTACCGATGAATATGTAATATAATATTTACAGGTAAAACTGCTTTAACGCAGAGATTTGTTCAAAAGCCGTTTTGCACAGACTTTTTGCCAACAATTGGAATAGATTTTCAATCTCGAACAATTAATCTGGATGATAAACAGTTGAAATTAGTTTTTTGGGATACCGCTGGGCAAGAAAACTTTCGATCATTGGTTAATAATTATTTTCGAGGAGCGACTGGCGTACTAATTTGTTTTGCGATAACAAATTATGAATCATTTAAAAATCTCAGTTACTGGCTGGAACAAGTCCATCAGTATTGTTCACTGGAAATAGTTATACTCATTGTTGGAACGAAATTAGATCTTGAATCTGAACGATGTGTTTCTCAGGAAGAAGCAGAATTATATGCTCAATCAAAAAATCTTCAATATATTGAACTAAGTTCTAAATCGGATGATCACGTTCAACATTGCATTGAAACTTTATGCAAATGTATAATTGCTAGAAGAGATCGTTCAGATACCGCAGTAACTTCAATTACTCTCGATAAAAAGCCAGAAAAAGATTCATCGAAAACCTTGATGTGTTATGACGCACAAACATGTTCTTAGTACACAATGTTATATTTTGAAATTGGCACGCAATTCAGTCTTTCGTTTATGTCATATCTTAGACATTATTGATGTTAGTTTCTGGAATAATACAATTTGATCACTTTTAGAACATAAATACAGAGAGATATGTCAAAACGAATGTCAACTTTTTTATCTTCGACTAATTAACGGGTGGCGCAGAATAAATTAGACTGTCAGTGTTTTTGAAATTCCTTCTCTTCCTCAAAGTCGATCGAGATCATTCTTATATCAAAAGATTCGCCTTTCAATTCTCTACGAAATGGTATATAAC